TTTCGAGTCCCACGTGTTTTTTATAATGTTAATAGCTTTGAAAAATTATTATAATATCTTTGTACCTTCGACTAAAAATCAATGTAAAGAACATTTAAAAATCATTTATTTAAATATTTTTTTATAACAATTATATGTTGACAAACACACGTTACGACTCGTTTTACTTAAAAAATCATAACTCACGAACAAATTGACGAAGCTTAATGAACCAAAACGCAAATTAAAGCTAAAAGTAGTGCAAATGAGAAAAAAAATATGAGATAATTATTAATTAAATAGGAATACTTAATTTCGTCGCCGCAAATATGGTAATTTTTAAATGGTACAGAAGGACTTTAAGGACTTAAAGAATGCTAGAAAAAGAATTTCTGTATAAGAAAAGGCGAATTTGAAGTGTGACAGATATTTTTTATGTAAAAAAATTAATTTTTTTAATATAATCGTAGCTCTTCCCCACCTCTTCCACCTGCCTCTGAGCCATAATAGACCTCTGTGGAATGTTAAATTTTTTTTTAACGACAAAAATATTTTAAATACGATTAAATTATACACAAAAATACATTTTTATCGAAAAAAATGCTCATTTACCTTTCACACAACACTGACGTAATCCTCCAACCATGCACTTTCGTGTCCCACCGAGATTTTGATTGTTCCCCGTTTCGAGAGTAAATGAGCTAAGACTTTGAAATTTTTACCTGAGGTTCCCTGCCACAATAACTTTTTTTCGGCGTAGAGGAGATTCTCCCACGATCATTTGTTTTCCGGAACAAACGACTGTTAGAAATTCGTGGGACACGAAAGGCATGGTTGGAGCGAATAGGGATATTAATTAATCTTTAATTAAAATTAGATTTTTACGGAATGCTGTACGTTATAGTGATTGATTTTTTCGCGGGCGTCATTATTAGCTAATTAATGCTGGTTATTAATATTTGATTGTCTACACTGGCGTCGCGCCATTTTACCGCGCGTAAAGAGCCTATAGGAGAGAGTAGCACTAACGAGCCACTCTCTGATTGACTGGAGTAAACGTCACGTGACCAATGAGCGCCTCTCTAGCTCTCTCCTAGAAGCTCGCTCTAACCGCGCGGGAAACGTTGTTGTTCTCGCGCTCGCGTCTCGTTAAGTCGTGCAGTCCCATCGTCCTGTGTCCTGTGTGTGTGCAGCAATCGACTAAAGAGTTTCGGTCGCGCGCCCGTGGATCCGCGTTTCCATCGCGTTTTATCTCGACCGGCGTCGGTTGTCATACGTATATGCGACGCATCCGTGCCGGGTGGTGGCGATCGCGAGCGGGTTATCCGGGCCAGATCTGGCCGTGCGTGTTTTGCCGTGTTTCGGCCGGGGCGTTAAAGCTTGATCTACAATGTGCTCTTTGCTTTCTGTTTTTTGCTCTTAACCTCTTTGCGACTATCTCGTATTTCGTAATTCCGTCGCGTAACGTGATGTTTCTTGTCTCTTCTGAAGTTCGTCAATTTTTATCTTGGGCGACAGAGAACAAAAAACATCGCGTTACGCGACGCAATTGCGAAATACGGGATAGTCGCAAACAGGTTAAGAGCAAAAAACAGGAAGCAAAGAGCACATTATTGTAGATCAGGCTTAAAGGCTGATCTACAATGTGCTCTTTGCTTTCTGTTTTTTGCTCTTAACCTCTTTGCGACTATCTCGTATTTCGCAATTCCGTCGCGTAACGTGATGTTTCTTGTCTCTTCTAAAGTTCGTCAATTTTTATCTTAAGCGACAGAGAACAAAAAACATCGCGTTACGCGACGCAATTGCAAAATACGGGATAGTCGCAAACAGGTTAAGAGCAAAAAACAGAAAGCAAAGAGCACATTGTAGATCAGGCTTAATGGTCGTGGGTCCGCGGATCCGCGTTTCCACTGCGTGTAGAGGTTTTCGTGGTTTTCGTCGGGAGTGTTGGCGAGCGGATTCGGGCCGGTTCTGGCCGGAACTAGAGCAATTATATTTTTGGATGACTGTATAATTGCGAGCTGGATTTTTTTTGTTCATCTGGACTCATCCGTTACATCGACAAAAGATCAATCAAAATGGATAAAACAGATAAACCGGTAAGTACAGTAGTACACATTATTTTCAGATCTAGAATATTCTCGAGCAAGCCATACGTTTTCGCCTTGCTGTCGGCGGCCTTGGCGCTCGGTCACGGGCCGGCCGTGTGTACACGTTGTTTTTTTACATAGACTCGCGCTCAGTAATAACGCGCTATACACTACTTCTCGCTGTTGCTGGGTCGACTTTCGCCACGATTCAAAACATATTATTCAGATCGTTGGAATTTTTGAGAAAACATTTGCTATCGATCGAGACTATTGTTGTTGGCACTGGTTCCCGGTATAAATTATCTCCGCACTCTGGCGTTCCTTTAAGTTGGTCATTAGACATTATAATTATAATCGAGTCAAAAGAAGTTGTCGTATTTAATGCTTGTGCCGTGGATTATTGCTCGTGTCGTGTATATCACTCGTGTCGTATACGCCGCTCGTGCCGTAACACCGCGTGCAACACACCCTGATATCTAATCGTAACGCCATAGATATTGGAGTTGCAAGTCTTTATTATTTATTATTAGATTATATATTTCTTTACTTGATAAAATGTAACGTCGGATAACCTTTACGTATCTGTTGTTTCTGTATCAATCTCCTTTTATTTCAGTGTTACTATTTGAAATCTCTTCCTTTGGGAAATGATGAAGCTCGAGCAGTATCTAAACTTATGTCAAACCTCATGAGCACGGTCTTACATACAGGTCTGGAAACTCAGACCGATTTCGGTGGTGGGGGATGGTCGTTTTAGCAAGGAAGAATTTATTTCACGGCGTTGTTACTATGCATCGCTGTCATCGCGAAGTGTAGATGGTAACCCATGGTAACGTGACAACAATTTTTTAATTGCGCTTAATTCAAGTGCATTTTTGAAAATGACATATAATGCACATCCTCAGTCGCTGAATTTGTAAACATGAAAAGTCGCGGTGGTTTGAAGCATGCAAACCACCATTTTTTTCATCTTATTCGATATGTTGAATCGTGTTTTGCAAAAAATGTCTCGCACTTGCATGTATTTAAATGGTTTTCTTAAAACGAATAAAAAGATTTCTAACGTTTTATTCTTAATGCAAAGTCATTTATTATTTCTTTGAGCTAAGTTGAAATACTTTCTTCGGCTCCTGAGGACATGGACAGCGACATGGATTGAAAATAACATCTTTCTCATGTAAATCTTTTTTTATATGACATTTTCTTTCTTTAAATAACTGTAACTAGTCACAGTAAAAAGGTCGATATCGACCTTGATTATGTGTACAACTACATTGATATTTTTTGGAATAAGAATGTATATAAATATTGAAACCTGTAAATTAACTATGGATTCTCGAAACGGGTAATTATTATTTACTTCATATTCCTTTACTCATAGCCTTCAACTTTCTAATTAATCTTATAAAACCAAGGCATACGTAAGGTAAGAATCAGAATTAATACAAGTCAACCGCTCTCATACCGAGAATCACGCGTCATCTTTAAATATTGTAAATTAAGAATAAATTATATATCAATTTATTAATTTGCGCATTCGTATAATTGGCCTTCCGTTTTTTTATGATCCGGTGTTCGTTAGAATTAAGTTTCTCGTTATGAGAAACAATTTATATTGATATTGTTTATTGATATCGTTTGTATTCGAAGAGAGATATTTCTTTTCCATAAAATAACATTATATCTTACAAAGTAAATTATTTCTTATTGTTTTATTATAATTAGATTCCAAATAAAGGATGAAAAAGAGCTTGGTCGAAATAACTAACTATTGTAAAACAAAAATCGTGTTGTCTATATTGTTCATTTAGCAATCTAAAACACACTAGGAAGGCACAGTATTATATATGCTTCACGCAGAATTTTTATTCCCTCAGTATCGCTCGGTCAGTATTTGTCCTTATAAAGATACGAATAAAAAGATTTCTAACGTTTTATTCTTAATACAAAGTTATTTATTATTCCTTTCCTCATTTGAAACTTCAATTATTGCCTATTTGACACTCACGATTTTGAATTTACTAATTACTATTTCCGTCCTTGTCCTACCACATAATACACTGACCGATGGCAGCGACTCTTACGGTCACAAAGCGAGTTATTTTCTTCGTCGCTAAGGCGACCATCCCCCACCACTAGAGTTTCCAGACCTGTATGTAAGACCGTGCTCATGAGTAACTCTCTTGCCCAAGAGTATAACTTCGATGGTCATGGAACTAAATTGACTTTCAAATCCACAAAATTATGGGAATTGGTACAATAAGGTATAATGTCTGAATGAGTAGTTGAGTTCCGTGAAATGTATGTGCGCATGTGCATATATGTATATATAAAATGCGCTTTTCAGAATCCAGCTAGTTCTTTTTTTTTAGCAAATGTTGATATTTTTTAATCCATACGTTTATTTTTTTAGGTACATTGTTGTTAAAATTTGAAGAAAGTGATCTGAGTGAAGCATTGAAGTCTCTCAGACCATGGCTGCGAAATGCCAAAGGAAGAATGAAACCTGCACATTAGTATTACAGGTTTATTGTGATGTAGAAATATCGACATGCTCTTTTTACGTCGGAACGAAGTGACACCACCAGAGGTGCAAGATAGTTCAAGCTTTAGATACACTGCAAGATAGACCAAATAATTTTGTAAGAGAACCCTGCGGGGTGTTTATCGCGAAAAGCCACTGTTGCGATGGCCGAGTCTCGTAGATCATCCTAGTAGGACAATCATAGAGTTACGCGTTTGTGTTTAGACGCGCTAGTAAATTTTATTTTATTTTATTTTTTTATTTTTACGATTCCGATAAAAATGTGGGAGCGAAGGTTCATAGAGAGAGAGTGGATTTGTGAATCTGGCGTTCAATTGCGGATGTCTTGTTATAAACATGTAAGTGCGAGTTCGTCAATTTCTGCCCAGACTTAACTATAGCGAACGAGAGAATTGCTAAATAATAAAATGATTATAATGACATTAGTATATATAATACATATACCATATATATATACTGATACGATACTGAAGCATCATCTTTTGTATCATTTGTTCGTTTGTTTTTATCTTACTGCGTTTGTCTTTCATTATTAATACAATACCAAGATGACTCGGTTTCGACTCGGTATCTTGTGTGTAAATATATATCCGCTCATAAAAAAACCGTGTAAGAATAACTAATAAAAAAATATGTATACAAATGCAACGAGGGCAAGTCTTATCGACGAATCTTCCTTGCACTCCCCTTTTTCAGGATTTCTACATTCTACAGTGTTAAGTACCAAATATCAGTGTGATTTAAATAGTTTATTTAACATACTCGTATTAAATACACCAATTTGTATGGGATACAACGCAATAAGCAGACCGGATGAGCAAAAAGGTCTGTCGATATTCAGAACCGTTGTTTAAAACAATCAATTATTTCGCTGCTAATTTCAATTAGTGAGAATAGATGCGAGTTCTGAATACAGACTACGAAGAACGCTAGGAGTGAATAAAGAATGAAAAAAAAGGATGAGTAAGTAACGAACCTCTTTGAAAAAAAGGACAGTTTTCGAGAGACAGAAGGCACGTAGGATGATCTAACATTTATATGTATGTACTCCTTGGTAACATTTTTCCCAGAAATTAAATATTTTGAAAAATATTGTGCCATACTTTAAATTCCTTATCTTGTATAAATGAGTACATATTATTATTTAGTAATAAGTAAATTAGTCCTTTCACTTTAGAGGTAGGTCTATTATACGTCTATAATACGTCTATTACGCAGAACGTCTATTAGACGTCTATTATATGCGTCTAAAAAAGGCCACTTAGACGTCTATCTAGATGCGTCTATCGATCTAAGTTAGATGCGTCTGATAGACGTTTGCTAGATGTCTATCCGATCTCGCGTTTCTCCCTGATTGCTTTTAAGAAAAAGTATGCAGATGCGTGTTGCAAATTACATATTTTTTCTTAAAGGAAATATGCCTTTTTTTATACCAATTGATTCGTCTCATTATTCTGTGCATAAAAGTGTTAAGGTAACATTACCGAAAACTTAATTTTTTTACAAGATATTTTGTATTTTATGTCAAAATATTAGAACTTTCAAGCCTTATAATTCCAAAAGTTCTTAATGAAAAAATACTTTATTATAGTGTTTTAAAAAGCTCGAATCTCGAGATTAGCTACAAGAATATGCATTGAAAAATAGGGATTTCCATTTAAGAAATTAAAGGTGAGTGAGCTTTAAACGATCATCCAAGGTGAAACCAATGGCACCATCTTATGTGCCCCTTCGATCCAAACAACTTTTGTATAAAACATTTCTTCCGAAAACGTCAACTTTCCGAGATAATCTAGGGTCCCGACCTTTTTGTTACACCCGGTATATATATATATATAT